CCGTACCCGGGTGACACCAAAATGACAGAGTAATTTTGGTGTCACCCCTCTAAAAAAGTCGCCACTTGGACATGGACCGAGAGCCCGACAGTGTCAGGAGAGAGGAGGGTACCCGGCAGCATACCTCATCCCGCCGAGTGAACGTCCCCTTTTCTCTCTGCCGGCGCCCATCACCAAGATGGCCGCCGGCAGGCGTCAATTAGAGAGCCGCGCATGCGCTATGACGTCACACGCATGCGCAATTACATCATGGCAGGGTGTCACCCGGTCCCCGCTTCTGGGTGACACCCGGCCCTGGTTTCCATCCCCAGTCCCTTTATCTCTTCCTGAGTATAAGACCAGCTCTTACTGTCATCTGTATCTGCCATTGCACAAAGCATGTCTACATTCCAGCTCTAAAAACGTAACGTCCTCCAATCCACTTAAGCAGTATTGTTGGCAGTGTTAGGTTAGCCACCCACATTACAATCTTCCTTAGATCTACCTAAAACGATGTACATCCTTTATAGATTTGGTTAATCTTAGCAAGGGTGTATGGAGACTGTTTGACCAGATTGTGAGGTGTGTGCCCAGCTTTAGAGATCCATTGTCCAGCCCGGCAGTAACAATGTATCCATATGCACAGGAAATGCTTTTCCAGAGAAATATTATAACACGTGATACGTTTGTAACATAAAGTCCCTGAGATCGGTGGATTGGAGGACGTTTAAAATAAAATGGATGACTCTGTCTCTTCGAACACTTGGCTATGTACCCTTAGTATTTATGTTCAGCTCTAACATGAATCCATAACTCTGCTTACAGAATCACATCAATTTGGTGCACAGGAAAGGCAGGACCAAGGTGTGCCCAGAGGCCGGCTGCGGGAAGAAATTCTACCTGTCCAACCACCTTCGCCGCCACATGATCATACACACAGGTATACGCCAAGCTGATAGATGGCTAGGAAGTCCCTTCACTCTGTATGTGTAATATCTGCGTGTCTGTTGTTAGGGATCCGCGAGTTCATCTGTGAGACGTGTGGCAAATCATTCAAAAGGAAAAGTCACCTGGAGGTGCACAGAAGAACCCACACAGGGGAGACCCCTCTACAGTAAGTCATCGAGGTGTTAAAGCAGCCGAGATCTTGCACTATGCCAGTACCAGCAACATGCACGTGGCAGTGCAGTAATTGGTGCTGGTCATGAAAGGGTTAAAGGGGTTGTGTGGCAAAAAAGGAAGATGCTGTTAGTAGATTGCTGGGGTGCTTCTGTATGGATTTGTGTTTTGTTATTGGAGATCCTGTGTACACTATTAGCACAGGCCTGTCAGTCACTGGGCACCACTTTATACCAGCCTGTATAACAATGGCCCACTGAACAGTGTGCATGAGCTGAAGGGGAATCAGGTGATATACATCCAATGTATTGCAACACATGGCATATCCTTTACAGATATTCTGCCCACACAGTAGTGTCCCTAGACTATTCGCCACCTGAGGCAGGGGGAGTGGGTTGTGGGTAGCTGATGGAGGTGCACGTTTGGGCGTTGTGGGGAGTTGGTGGTGGTGAACTTTGTTGGGTGAGCGGGTACGTTGGCCAGAGTGTTCCCCTCAGTTCATGGCAAACAGTGCTGTCACTGGTTGCCTAGAGCTGGCTGGACACTGGCCAGAGCGCTCCACTGAGCTCTAGGCAACCTGTGACCCAAAAGATGCTATCTGAGGCAACAGGCAACTGCCTCATTATAGGAGCGGCCCTGTGCCCACACACTCCCAGCCCCGGGTGCCGGCTCACCACGTGATAGAAAATAGTAAATAAATGGCTTTGCCACACATTGCACAGGCTGCCATGCAGTAACACACATTAGCACAATGCATAGGTCTCAAGGGAATCTTGGAGATCACTTCATCTGCATTGCACTGTTTAGGTTCAGGGCAGAGCAATAGGTTTACTTTAATTCCTCTCTTTTGCTTCCCTGCTGCTCCATTTAGTCCCTGGGAAGAAAAGGCGAGCCCTGTGTAAGTCACTGAAGTTGTAGCTCACACAGAGGGCTATCGGCTCCCTGTGTGACAGCTCTGACTGGCCCGGGGCTTTCACATGTCTCATCAGCTAGTCTCATGTTCCTCCATACCTGTAAGTACCAAGTTTTTCCTTTAGCTACCAGCGCTGAGCAGAGTGACAAGGGAGTGAATAAAAGTGGAGTATAAACTGCTCCGTGTTGGGACCAATAACGATATGCTGGTATTTTTATGTGGTGTGATTAGCAAGGGTCAAAAAATATTGTACAGGCAGTCCCCGAGTTGCATACATTCGACTTACATACGACTCCTACTTACAAACGGAGGCTATTACTGTACAGCAGGGGTAGTTGTAATGCTACCACGCTCATGCTGACGAGGGGTATCCGCCTTTTTGGGTCTGGTCCATAACACTGTACGTACATTACAGGAAGTTGGCTCTTGTTAGACGTGCAGACAAGGGGTGCCCACCTCTTCCGGGTCACTGTGAGGTTTTTACTGCTGTCTGTATCCTCATTAGAAATATTTAATCTCACTTCCTGTCCTTGAAACAACATGAAATGAAAGGAAATCTATCCCTAGGAAGGGAAATTCACTCCTGTAAGAGTGATCATGGTTAAAAAGTTTCTCCAGTGAAGCTTTATCACCAATCCTTATTTCCACAGCAACCCAAAATCTTCAAAGTACAATTGTCACAGGGACAGGAAGTGAGGTGAAATCTTCTGAACAGGGGCACACACAGCAAAACAAACTTTACAGGGGGTTAACCCTTCCCTATGGTATCCAAAACAAACAAAAAAAAAATTTTTGGCTGGAGTTACACTTAAAAAAGTTACCTATTCCACTTACGTACAAATTCAACTTAAGAAGAAACCTACAGTCCCTATCTTGTTCGTAACCTGGGGACTGCCTATACATGGTCCTCAGTCTTACATTAATAACATGTCTTCCTGCAGGTGTGAGGTTTGCGGGTACCAGTGCCGGCAGCGTGCCTCTCTTAACTGGCACATGAAGAAACACGGCTCGGAGATCCAGTACAGCTTCTCCTGCGAGCATTGCGGCAAGCTTTTTGAGAAACGTGAGAGCGTCAAATTCCACAAACTAAAGAGCCACCCAGAAGGAGAGGTCACGTGACATGACACAAGGGTTCAGCTGACCGATACGCATTCATGTTACACTGAGGGAAATTAGAGGGTACAGGGTCAGATGAATGTGCCCCACCCTGGTAGGACGTAGTATGTGAAGAACATCCATTAGTGACTGCTTGCCAGGAGGCACAGCAACCAACATAAACTATTCTAGGTAATCACATCTCTCTAAAGAGGGAATCACTCTGGAGGAAGTAGATATGAAGGCCTTGTTCACATCTCTGAATTTAAGGTATGTTTCAGGGGCATTTCAGGCATCTATTTACATGTGTCAATGTGAACAGGACCTAGGTGGCATCACTGAGGCATTAGAGCTGCTGTGATTAAAGATTTATTATGTAAAAGGTTTTATCAGGTATCTTCCCCTAAGCTTCAAGATCTAGTGGGTGCATTGTATGGCCAAAAGTATGTTGGCATAAAAAGACATTTTAGACAATTGTGCGCTTTCAGCCTTGTGGGAAAAGTTTGGTGAAGGCCCTTTTCTGTTCCAGCATGACTGCGCCCCTGTGTACAAAGCCAGCTCCATATAGACATGGTTGGAGGAGCTTGGTGGGTGTCCTGCACAGCATCCTGACCACATCCATATTCTAACAGCTTTGGTATGAATTGAAACACTAATTGCAAGCCAGGTCCTCTTATCCAACATCAGTACCTGACCTCACAAATGTTCTTCTGGTTGATTGAGCACTGATTCCCACAGACACTCCAAAATCTTATGGAAAGCCCTCCAAGGAAAGTAGAGCTGCAGAAGGGGGTACCAGATCCATATGAACTCCCATGAATGTAGAATAGAATAGGGGTAGGCAACATCAGCACTCTGTTTTGGAACTCCCACAAGGCATTCCAAGACTCTCGACAACCTCAGCCCTGAGGCATGATGGGATTGCCTACCCCTGGACTAGAATGTCCAAGAATCTCATAGAGGTGTGATAGGTGTCCACCAGTGTTTGACCATATAATGTATCGGCAATGTTGTAAATAATAGGGATGCACGTATCGGCATTTGAGCTCGTGCTCGTCCTGATGCTCCGATACCTTTCACGATGCCGGAACTTCCGGTCAGACAAAGATTTCCTCTGACCGGGAGTGCTGTAGGGGAACATGGAGCCGAGCTTTCCGTGAGATCAGGGAGCTGTGCAGCGAGTAATGACCCAACTCCCGGCTTCTTGATTGGCTGGAAAGCCGGCTCCATGCTGATTAGCCAGGAAGCTGGCTTCCTGGCCAATCAGCATCGAGCCGGCCGAATAGCCAGCTCCATGCTGATTGGTCAGGAAGTCAGCTTCCCGGCCAATCGGCATCGAACAGCCGGCCAATCGGCAATGAGCCGACTGTTCAGCCAATCAGGGAGACTGGTCATTACTCACCACTCCTCAGCTTCTTGATTGTCCGGGAAGCCGGCTTGATGCTGATTGGCTGGAAAGCCGGATTCTCAGCCAATCGCAATCAAGCCAGCCAAACAACATGGAGCTGGCTTTCCGGGCATTCAAAAAAGCCAGGCAGCATGTCCTTACCCGCCGCCCAGCTTCATGATTGCCCGGGAAGCCAGCTCCATGCCAGCGGTAGCACCGGTATCGGTACTCGGTATTGGTGAGTACCGAAAGGAAAGTATTGGTTCTCGTACCAAAAAAATCGGTGCATCCCTAGTAAATAACGAACCATAGGTACTGCTCCAAGGCCTTTACTATATGCGGTGATCAGCCGCGGGCACTTCAACCTGGCACAGGATTCATCCCATTTCCAGGTGAGAGATAAGAATAGGCCACATGACCTCTAAATCCCATTCTATAAAACACAATTGTTCTATCGGTATAACCTGCCAGATAGTCTCCTGTTTTGATGTGTGTTGCCCTAGTAGGACTTCATCTCCATCTCTATGATAAAGCTCTGTACTAGGGTCAAACACATCAGCAAGGAGACTGTGTCTGGAGGGAGAACACACACAAGTACATGGATGGAGGTCAGTATGCACACCGCACTATGTATGTGGCATACACTTATGGAGCGGATAATAACTCACAATGTCTTATGTTCCCGAGGTGTCCTGAAGCTCCAGCATGAAACTCACCTCAATGTGACATCGAAGTGTTCCGACAACCAGCCAGAGGTAGGCGTTATATGACCTGAGCCAGTATCTGGCCTTTCCAAAGTGTAGGAATTAGTGAACCCCAATGCCTAGGGAATGGATATGCTGCTGCGGACTCGGATCCATTGTCTGAACAATTGTCCAATGAACACAATGTGGTCTGTATAAGCTACGGGTGCTTTTTCAGCATTTTTCAGTTTTATATCCTGGTTTTCTTGTAATAAGAACTGTCTCCTTTCCGTCTTGCCCTCCATGGGGGAAAGTATTTGCCTCACTTATGAGTGCTCGTCCACTACCCTGTTTATATTAAAATCTATTTAATTTTTACAATGTTGTTTCTGATTCTTTGTTGGGAAATGAAAGCTGGCCATACACCTATAGATTGTCTGCAGATTTTCTATGGTCAGATGGAAAAAGTGCAACAGATCCTTTATACCTGGCACAGGTACACTCAGGTATTAGGCTACCCTAAGCCAGGCCGCCTCTATTACACTATACATGGCACAGGTACTCCTGGGTATCATGCCACCCTAGGCCACACCCCCTCTAATACCCAATACATGGCACAGGTACTTTCAGGTATCTGGCCACCCTAATCCCCTTCCTCTCTATTACACTATTCATAGCACAGGTACTCCCGGGTATCAGGCTACCCTGGGCCACACCCCCTCAATAACTCTATACATGGCACAGGTACTCCCTGGTATCAGGCTACCCTAATCCCTTCCCCTCAATCAGACTATACATGGCACAGGTACTCCCGGGTATCAGGCTACCCTAGGCCACACCCCATAATACCCGAACAATGCCGGCATCCAATCAAATTGTTCAGGTATTTTGAGAGCCAGCGGGGCCGACTAGCAAGATACTGAAGCTTGGCCCAGTGGGAGATTCCGCCATCCACACAGCTTAGCGTAGATGGAAGAATCTGTTGCACTTTTTCCATCTGACCATAGAAAATCTGCAAACAAATCTATAGGTGTATGGCCAGCTTAAGATACATGATACTGATGGATAGTCAGAGGTGCCAGTGCATATTGTGTGGGGGTGGCATAGAGTAGCCTGATACCCAAGAGTACATGGGGCCTGTATAGTGTAATATAGGGGTGTGTGGCCTAGGGTGCCCCCCCCACCCTGTTCCCTGGCTTCCACCCTATCCACACTACATTCATTGGAAGCTGCAAATTCCCCCGCCAAACATTACTCTGACATCAATGCCCCTGAAATGAGGAATAAACCCCTGATTTTTGAATTTGTGATGGAAGTGAGACCTGCATATATCTTGTGTTTAACAAGGAACTACTATGCTTTGCCGGAGGACCAAGGGTGCCTACCTTTGGTTTATACGATGACCCGTCTGCTCATAGAAGCCATGGTTTCCATACATCGCGCTGATGATGGCTGACATGCAGTGTGAAATAAATGGCTCGATGATATTAGACTGTGTCTGTGATATAAACCAGCACTGCCAGGTACGTAAAGAAATGAATTGCTTGGCTCTGCCCCCTATCCTAAAATAAAACCCTTTGTTTTGGGGATTTTTTTGTTTTAGTAGGTGACTTAGGTGCTTCACACTGGCTTAAAGGGGGGGTGCCTTGTAGCTCACCTATCCTCATGTGGTCACGCGTTCTGCTTGTAGAATATACAGGTATGCTATATGCCCAGCAGAGGGCGCTGCAGTCTCAGCAAGAACAAGCGCACTTCATTAGAATTGCAATCCACGTGCCGCTACAGCACAATAAAAGGAGGGTTTGATAGAAAGCAAATGGATTAAACGGGGCGGGGGGATCATGGGATATGGAAATCTGTTATTTTTTGGTTTGTTTTCCTCCTGCTCATTGTGACTGTATTTTTCTCTTGTTTGGTTGATATTTAGCATTTCTTTGCGTTTGCTATGCTCCAGAGTGGGAGCTGTGGTATCCTTTAACTGTTCCTGATAAAAGGGACCATCCACAATGTAATATCAATAGACTATCGATAGAATATCAGTAGGTTATTGTTAGAATATCAATAGCCTATCGACAGAAAATGAATAGGCTATCAACAGAGTATCAATAGTCTGTTGATAGACTATCAATAGGTTAAATAAGCAGAATATCAGTAGGTTATCAATAGAATATCAGTAGTCTATAAACAAAATATCAATAGGCTAACGATTGAATATTAGTAGGTCATCCTTAGAATATCAATAGAGTGTCGATAGACTATCAATAGGTTATCAACAGAATATCAGTAAGCTATTGATAGAGTATCAGTAGGCTATCGACAGAAAATGAATAGGCATTCGACAGAATATCAATAGTCTGTCGATAGAATATCAATAGGTTATAAGCAGAATATTAGTCGGCTATCAATTGAATATCAGTAGGTTATTGATTGAATATCAGTAGGTCATCCTTGGAATATAAATAGGCTATCAATAGACTATATATCAATAGGCTGTCGGCAGAAAATGAATAGGCTATCATCAGGATATCAGTAGGCTGTCGATAGCCTATCAATAGTCTATCATAAGGATGCAATGATACTAGTATCGGTGCCGATACAGGGCATTTTCATGAGTACTTGTAAGTGTGAAAATGCCCCGATGCATAGCGCCAATGCCGGAGCTTTAAATGTTTAAATTACTTCGGCTGCCTGCGGTTCCCCACGCTTTTTGGGAACCTCATGCTGCCTGCTGGCTGCCATTCACCATTGCTGTAGTTCTCTATTGCTGGTTGCCATTCTTTGTTGCTGAATAATCATGGATTGATGATAACTGTAGTCCTCTATTGCTGGTTGCCTTTCCTTGTTGCTGAATAATCACTTCTTTATAATTATAAAGAAACTGCCCTAAAATCATTTAGTCCTGTATTGTTTGAGAAAAAAATTTCACATGTCCCTTTAAGAAAAAGGTTTCGGCGCTTAGTATGGGTGAGTACCTGAGGGGAAGTCTTTGTACTTGGTCTTGATAAAATGTTATGGAGGCATCCCGAGTCTATCGATGGCCTATTGACATTCTATCTGTTGTGCACATTCCGCATCACTTACCAGT